GGTGGTTGTAATAAGAATGGTAAGTAAAAATGCGTTGTTTTGTTGTTAGGAATATTGTGGCATTTTGGGTCAGGGATTGTGGCTAGCTAAGTTTAATGTTAAGAAGATCGTCCTATTCCCCATTTTGGCCTTGTGCCACACTTTGTATATATTATACAAATAAATATTGATTTGAGGAGTAGTTGATTTACTCATGATTTTTCCGTTCTACGTATGAGTATTTAATAAACTTCTTTATTTTTCCTACTTAGTCTTCTGTTCCTTGAATACTCTCTCGAGCTACGGCCTTCCTAATTCCCGGCTATTTTGAATAAAGACATTACAAAAAAAATTCAAATTATACTGCGTTTAGATTCACGAGTATTTAAAAAATACTGTTTTTTTTATTATTTCAGAATTCGAGGTTGTCATCAGATATCTCATTTGGCTTCATCACAGTTGAAAGGTTCACTTCCGTCAGGTGTAAAACGTAATAATTAAATTAATGATGGTATCCAGTGCGGCTAGAGTGATTTGATTGTCTAACATTTGGAAGGAAAGCAGTTTGAATCGAATTAGTTGCCCAGGCTAGACCAGTTTATTTGAATTGGTTCCCTGAAAATTCCAAAGTACCAAAATACACTGAGATTCCAAAGGAAGCGCAAATTGGTAAATCTGAAATCACGATGAAAAGACTAACAGTAAGAATAACAACATGCATATCTGTAAGCACAAGAGACAGTTCGATATGTGAGCTACATAGTGTGGACATCAAATCAAACAGGCGCAAAATATGTATCAGGTCATCCCATAAGTTCTGTCCGAATTTTGAATAAAGAAAACAAGTGACCAAATGTTACATTTAATTACAGATTCAATCAACAATGTATTTTCCCTGATTATCTATGACTTCCTTCCATCTATTAACAAGCTTACTAACTCTATTACTGTAAAATTCTTTTGGCTTTGATTCGAAGAACTCACAAATGTCAGTTTTAACCTCTTCCTGTGTTACAAAAGCTGTTTCTTCCAAATGATTCTGTAAACTACGAAACAAATGCTAGTCTGAAGGAGCAAGATCGGGAGAATAAGGTGGATGAGGAATTTTCTCCCAACCAAGTTCTTCGATCTTTTGTGACGTGTTTCTTGCTGTGTCGGGTCGCGCACTGTCCTGATGAAACATCACCCCTTTTTGATTCACTAGAGCAGGTCTTTTTTTCCTCAAAGCTTGGTTCAAACCCTCTAATTGCTGACAGTATATTTGAGCATTAATTGTTGCATTAGGTGGTAAGAATTCAAAGTGGATTATTCCTTGGCGATCCCACCAGTTTGAAAGAAGAAACTTTTGCCCATGAAGTTCCCTTCCCGGCTGTGGCTGGGGTCCTTCCCCATTACCAAGCCACTGTCTACGACGCTTAACATTTCGATAAAAGATCCATTTTTCGTCGCCAGTCACAAGTCTATCCAAAAAAGGTGAAACAAGTTGGCGAGAATAGAGAGAAGAGCAGATGTCAACTCGGGATTTGAGGTTGTTTTCAGACAATTCATGAGGCACCCATTTTCCAAGTTTAGGAACTTTTCTAAGTTGTTGAAGATGACGATGAACAGTTGTATGGTTTGAACTGAGAACCACTGCCAATTCCTCAACTGATAAAGCAGGATTTTCTTCAAGGGCTGCTTCAAGAAGCTTTTCATCAAACTCAACTGGACGTCCAGTTCGATCTTCATCTTCAAGGGTGAAATATCCACCTCTGAATTTTGCAAACCATCTTCTGCAAGTTCTTTCATTCGCACATTCCTCTCCATAAACTGAATGTTTCTAGCCACTTCGGCTGCTGAGTTTCCTTTCTTGAACTCATAAAGCATTATGTGCCACAAATGTTCCTTGGGTACTTCCATGTTAGCAGGGTTTTAATCAAACATAATTTAATTTTATTGTTCTCTGAAATAAAAATTTGATCAGTTTAAATGCATCTAAACATAAAAATAATGTTCAGCTCCATTAGACATTATAAAATACTCTTTAAGTTTCGTTCATTTTAACAAAAAGTTCAAATTCGGACAGAACTTATGGGATGACCTGATAACTACCGTAATTTAACATAATACGCATTTTTTCTAGAATAATAAGTAAAATTAGGGGTGCGTATTATAGACAGCTACCAAAAAATCTTTAAAATGATGCCATTTCACAAGTCGATTTCAGTTGCAAAATGACTACTCATCACAAACATAAAATTTGACATTCAAATTTGGAGAATGTAACCCCATAAGGTTGTCAAATACAATCATATGTACCTAACAATACTTACAAATGTAAAATAAAATAAGAAATATTATAAAACTAATTTGACATTAAAATTTGGAGAATGTAACCCCATAAGGTTGTCAAATACAATCATATGTACCTAACAATACTTACAAATGTAAAATAAAATAAGAAATATTATAAAACTTAATTAGAATAATATTATTCTTTATTTTTAAACCATTTTTAATAAGAGTAGGAAAAGTTGGCTGTAATGAAATTGGGGAGGTACAATTTGTAGGATTTTATTACCAAATAAGGGGTGCGTATTATGCGCGAGTAGAAGTATTTTCCCACACTTTCAGCACAATTTTAGAGGTGCGTATTATGGATGAAAGCGGGAATGGGGAATTACAGTATCTGTCTAGTATAGTGACAGACGATGGAAAATGTGACACAGAATTCCGAAGGCACATCGAAATATCGAAATATTAACACACAAGAAAACATTGTTAGAACCAATGAAAAGAGCAATGAATTGCCGTAGAATATCTAATCTGCAATATGATGGTGAATGCTGGGCATTTCTATCACAGAAGAAGAGATTTGAAACGCGAGACGCGTGGTTTTACCGATAAAGTCTAGAAAAGCCATGAACACAATATGTGAGCAACGCCGAAGTCTTAAACCAGAAGAAACTTATACTTACGAAAGTCGTATTTCTAGTACGGATAATGAGGAAAAAAGGTGCAGAGAATTTAACACTCGAAGGATATACAGAAGGGAAAAGAACCTACTTAACGAATTCGGGTGGACAACAGAACATGGGAAAAGAGGGATCATAAAGTCTCTTAGAGCCTCTTTGTTCTGGACTATTTTCTGTGTATTTTATTGACAACCTGGAGGAAAAAGGATTCATTTTGAAACCTCACCAGAGTAGTCGGTGCCCTCCACAATACCTGATTGATCCCTGAATTTGCCAATGATCTTGCATTAATTTCTCCATGTATCAAGGATGGAAAATTATTGTTGCAATCACTCGAGCAAGCAGCGAACCAAGTAGGTCTCTATTGCAATGTGAGTAAGACAGAATATATCAAAACCTCCTCTCCAAGTTGAAATCACTCAATAATACATCCATCAAAAGAGTTGAGGACTTCAAATATCTTGGATCTCACATAATAGATTCCCAAAAAGGCTTCAATATCTGTAAAGCTCTTGCATGGGATGCATGTAACAAATTTCACAAGATTTGGCACTCAAACATCCAATCCTCTTTAAAAATCAAAACCTTTCAAACACTGACTGAGCCAGTCCTGCTGTATGAAGCAGAAAATTGGACATTGTCTTTTCGTCTTGAAAAGCGACTGGAAGAAACATATGCAAATCTACTTAGAAGAAATCCAGAACTTCAACTGGAGATCCCATGCAATGCTTAACACAATTTACGGAGAACGAAGACTAATCTGTCTTAACCCTTTGAGCTCTGCGTTCTTGAACAATTTTAACATTTCTGTTTGAGCTCCTGAGTCAAAATTCGCAAATAATTGGGATGTAATGTTTCACGGTAGATATAAAAATAGTGTTTACGCACCGTTGAACCGGTAGCTGAGCATTTTCATTTTTCTCTACCACTGTTCAACCGGTTACTGGGCATTAAGTCATTTTTCTCTACCACTGTTCAACCGGTTGCTTAGCATTAACTCATTTTTCTCTACCACCGTTCAACCGGTAGCTGGGCATTAAGTCATTTTTCTCTACCACCGTTCAACCGGTAGCTGGGCATTAAGTCATTTTTCTCTACCACCGTTCAACCGGTAGCTGGGTATTAAGTCATTTTTCTCTACCACTGTTCAACCGGTTACTGGGCATTAAGTCATTTTTCTCTGCCACTGTTCAACCGGTTGCTTAGCATTAAGTCATTTTTCTCTACCACCGTTCAACCGGTTGCTGGGCATTAAGACATTTTTGTCTACCACCGTTCAACCGGTAGCTGGGTATTAAGTCATTTTTCTCTACAACCGTTCAACCGGTAGCTGGGCATTAAGTCATTTTTCTCTACCACTGTTCAACTGATGGCTGGGTATTACATCATTTTCTCTACCACCGGTAAAACGGTGGTCAGTGCTTAAGCTCAAACATCGACCAGACAGGGAAATCGTCTCATCCTTACTCCTATGGCATCCTTCTGGAAATGTCTTCTTATCAAAATTCACTTTCTTAAACACCATAGATCGGGACTCGAGGTTGGACTTGGCGGGTCCGGGATAACAACACAGGACCGAACAATGTGGAAAGGGATTGTCAATAGATTTCCGACCAATCGAACGATGATTATGAGAGCACAAAAATTGTGGAGAGCCATTATCGAGATTTGCACATAAAAGATGATAATCAAAATAACTATGTACAAACTTTAGTTTACTTGCAGATATAAAGTGAGAACCAAACGAGCAAACGAGAGGAAACCATTTACGAGACAAGTGTACTAATCACTACACCACAAGATGGCACCTCTCATATCAAAATATGATTTACTAATCTTAGTTTAGGCACAAGGTCACAAGCAAGTGAGGGTCAAACGCGCTAATCAGTAGTAAGTATTTACGGTTTACTAACCACTATACCAGGATAAGGCGCCTCTATTATCAAATATTGACCAAAAAAATGTTCGGTTTCTTTTCATTTCACTGCTGTCGTCTGCCTCATTCATTTACATTCGCATCGAGTTTCTTGTAAGAATTTTCATTATTTTCTTTTTATTTCTTTTTAGATTGTTTCTCTTATTTAAAATTGACATTACTTTATTTTTTTTTTATTTTCTGGTTTTACTTTTTTTTTGTTTGTTTGTTATTATTTGTTTTCCCCGCCCGCCCGGAAGTCCCACTGAACCTTCCTTCCGGCCAATTTTCTTTCTCAATGATTCCAATGTTCTCTTGTCTCACGAAACCATTCCCAATTTGCAAGAGTTATTGGCAAATATCACACTTCTACTCTGGTATTATCTCTCTCTCTCTCTCTCTCTCTCTCTCTCTCTCTCTCTCTCTCAAAATCTGTCTATCTTTCACTTTCTCTTTTTCTCTCTATTACGCATTCTTTCTTTTCTGTTCTTCTGACTTTCTCTTTCTTTTCATCTTTTTTTTTTGCTTTTTTTTTCTCTGACGCAACAGATTCCAGTCAACGTTCAATTCTTTTGCCACAAATTTCTAATGCTATGTTTCTTATTTTTTTAACATTTTTCCCAGTTTTTTCTTCTTTTTTTTTCTTTTGTTTCTTTTTTTTTGTTTTGTTTTGATGGTGGTGGTGGTGGTGGGGAGGGCGCCTTGTATTTGCAGGCAATAAAAAAAACTCATTGCATTATGTAGTCTTTCGATGGCTTCTTGTTTTTCCGTCTCAGTTTTTCTCTTAATCATTCTTTATCTTCTCCGTTTTTTCTTTCTCTCTCTGTGTCTCCACACACACACACACACATATATATATATATATATAGGGTGCGATGGGTAAATTGTTGCCATTTTATATTTTTTAAAATTTTGCGCATGCGCTTTGATGGTTTTTGATTTTGTCGACTGTACAATATAATAGGGTCAGTTGGGCAGTTTATGTGATAAAAAGAGCACCATGACGCAATTCGTTCCTCCAGAAATTTCTAAACGGCATGCTGGCATTTTAAAGGCTCTAAAAGTCTTGACCGCCTCATTTGAAAACGGGGTGTTGCGTATAAGACACAGGTAATCATCAATTAAATGATCAAACGAGTTTTCCGCATAGACATTAAGACGATTACTCCTCCAGATACTGTCGACACTTCTGTTCAGTGGTCATTATGGTACTGGTAACATTAACTGTTTCCTTATAAGTAAACGTTTGGCATACATTGACCAATGTTACCATCGGTTAAAATTTATAAAATCTTTGTATTAAAACACTTTTTTCGGGAAAACAAGATTGTCAAGTCCAGTAACTCTTTTCGTTCGTTTCAGTATTGACTGGGGGAGAGTAAGGGGCTTTCTTCCTTGAATAAATATAGAAACGTCAATATCTTGATTATTTTGACTTCGTGTTACATATCTACTCTTCTTAATTTGTTATAACTGATCCATACGCCGAGCCATCTGAATTATTTGGTATTTATTAATTCCACAGCCTGAATTGTTATGATGGAAAACGATTGACAAGTCCAGTGACTATTTTCGTTTCAGTATTGTTTTAAGGGTCGTTCGCTTTCATCGTTTCCGTTGAGGAAGTGTAGAATGTCAGTATCTTGATTATTTCTTTCTTCGTGTTACATGTGCAATCCATTTTAGTTTTTGCTGCTGTTGGAAGTTCTCAAGTGAGTTGGTTTCTGTTATTTTGTTACGGTTCTTTGGGATTCTGTAGGCCCAGTCCACAACGTTCGTTAAGACCTATATGCTTCCCTCGTTGGAAGCCATTTTTAAATCATCGATCTGAGAAAGCGATTTTATAAAGGTGAGAGTTTAGATACTTTTGAAAGTCATGACATCCATATGAAAGTCTCAATCTGTCGTAATTATTTAAGAACATGATTCGACTTTTTAGGTTAATGTTTTGGCTTTGTAGCAATTTACTGTGTTGATGCACAATTACCTCTAGCGCAGCCAATTCTACGTGCAATTTCCGCATCTCCTTTTGCTATAACTGATCCATACAACGAGACATTTGAAGAGTTTTGTATTTACTAATTCCAAATCCTGAACTGTTATGATGAAGAAGGATAGTCTTCGCCATGATTCACTGGTTTCACTCGTTCAAAGCCATTTTTAGCCATTGATCTGAAAAACTGGTTGGATACAGCCGACAGCTTCGATACTTCTGAACCGGTTTGGCGCCAGTCGTGACATCCATATGAAAGTCTAGGCTTGACAAGACTATTTAAGTACAGGTTGCGATGGATAAATTGTCGTCTAATTTATGCACAAATGAAAATAACACTGACATCTCATCTTAACAGATATAATTACCAAAATACTAAAGAGTAAATTTATCCAATAAAATCGCCATTGGCTTCAACCACGGCCACCAGACGACTTCAGAATCCCCTGCAACTCTTCTGGACGGTCTCCTTCTTTAAGTTGGTAAATGCTTCCATAATCCTTGCCTTCAGTTCATCTTTGGTATTAGAAGGATTTTATCGGTCTCTCACTCAAATGCGCCCCATACATAATAATCAAGGGGGTTGTAGTCTGAGGTGTTAGGTGACTAGATGTAAGGTGTGATGTGATCGCAGAAATTGTCTGACTGGGTTTTCCTGCTTGTGTAGCATGGTGCAGAGTCCTGTTGCCAGACATAGACACACTTTTGATGCAGGGCAGCACTACTTCCTCAAGGCATTTCATGTAGACATCCGTGTTGAGTCTGACGCCCTGTGGTAAGATGAATGGAAGCATAACGTCGTCATTACTAGTCGTCGCACGAAACACCTTCGTAATCACCATTAAATTCATCCAACTCTTTCTGAATCCTCTGAACTGTCCTCAGATTGAAATATTCGTATTGAAGCTTCTGGCGCGAATGCCAAGCAGTACAGCATGTCGTTTCCAAATTTCTGTCGGAGCGAATTGCGCATGAGGCTCTTTTTCTTACAGACGGTGCCCAACTAACTCTATTATACTGTGCAATGGACAAAATCAAAAACAAACAATGCGCATGCGCGAAACTAAAAATATAAAATGGCGGAATTTACCTATTGCTCCCTGTATAGACAGACATGAACAGACTAAGATAGATAGATAGAAAGATAGATAGATAGATAGATAGATATGGGATTACTGGAAGTGTCTTCTCAGTCATAAAATAATCTACCAATATATGACAACCATCCTACTTTCTCTCCTGAGACCAATGTACTGATGATAGAGGTGAGGGGGGTGATATGCTGATGAAGTAGATGGTCATTGTTGGGATAAGGATTATCTTGAAGAGAAAATCAACATCCTCTATCAAGTGTTTTGTGAAGTAGAACTCAAGATAAACTTTTCCAAAACAGAAATTATGATCATTATTTACATTATTCGGACTAATTGTCTTCATCTTTGTCGCCATATTTATTACAACGTTTCGGCCGTTGTACGCTCCGGCCTTCTTTAGGTGGTTGGAATGTCGAACTGAACCCTTTATTTCGCTCACTGGGGTAGACTGTTCTAGTTCCACGTGCCATGATTAATGGATGTCAGTTATCTCCTGTTAATTTCCCTCTGAAAATTTCTCCACTGCCTTAACCGGGTATTGAACTCACACTCTTTGGGTCCTGTCACTGGAACTAACCAACGCCTTTATCCACTGTGCCATGTGTCCGAATAATGTAATAATGTAAATAATGTACATAATACCTCATCTCAGAAATATAGACAGATACAGAAATTATGATCTGGAATTGGAATGAAAACAGTGACGCCATATACCCTGAACCCATCATGAAATATCAGGATGTGGAATTAGTAAATATTAAATACTTCAACTACCTCGGCATGTGGATCAATTGTAATAAATTTAGTGTCGGAGAAAAGAAAATTGAACAAAGAATAAGCTGTGCTAAAAGTAGTTTCACCCAATACCGCCAATTGCTACAGAACCAAAACATTAAACTGAAAACAGCCTTATCAGATCAAGAAGTTCATATGAATGACATACGTGGTGCCAAGTCCTTTAAAATTATTTAAACTGTTAGGTGTATACAACTGCTTTCTAAGATCATTTGTTAAAAAAAAGGCTTTGAACAAATGAATTCCTGTTTTCATACAGCGTATTCTTCCGTGAATCTTCCTTGTTATGAACGCTGTCCGGACAAAACAATAATACTCTGCATAAGGAACTTTCCCATTGCAGGCTACATGATCATTTACTTGAACACGTTTTGCAGAATAAAGGCTGGAACTCTCATGCAGCAAACACATTTCCTGGCTTAGAAAAAAATTATTTTCTCTTTCAATGCATCCTTCAAATGAGCCAATTGCTCACTGCCATATCATAGTGTAACATTCTGTCCATGTTCCCACAATTTAGGATATTGAATTTCTTTTGATTGTTGGTTGGTTTTGTTAGGCAGCATATCAACCTCTATGGGTTATTTTAATGCTGAAATGTAAATATTTTTGACACAATTTTATGATTTCAGCTAAATAAATTTTGAATGCAATAGCATGCCTGTGACTACAGATAAAATGTATTGTTTCAGTTTTGATTTAAATAGGTATTGTTGGTAATTTTACCATAAAAATGTATTTTTATATATACTTTCATAGTGTTTTGTTTTTGTTTGGTGGTTCATTATTTGCCCATAGCTGGGACCCTAGCAGGTGCTACCACCGTGGGTCACAGTGGACCCGAGAACAACAGCAATTAAGAGGCGGTTATATGCATCCCAAAATCTATAATCTTCTGATCAGAGGCTTTACTGCCAGATGTAATTTATCATCATACCCAGGACTGAATTTCTTTTAAATTCAATAATGAATTTCAATTAGAATAATTTGAAGACACCTTGTCTTGCATGAATATACCCTTTAGCTTAAAGCGTCATACTTCTAACCTGTACCATTCAAAATACATCTTGTTCAAGATTATAAAATGATTCTTTGCATTTCTCTTAAACCATCAATTTTGAAGGGAGGCCATAATTTTTCTATATATAATACTCCCCCCAGATCTTACTCCTCCTCCCACATGTTGGTTGAATATTTCCATAAAGGTGTCAACTTCCAGCACAGTCATCAGTTCCATCTGCTATAGCTCTATGTTTAGGATTAAAATTATTGTTGAGAAATCCTTTTCTTTGCCCAATTCACCCGTTTCTCTTTTTCTTCTTTTTTTTTAATCAATTGCCCCAAGCAAGGCCATAATCCTACTGAGTCGCAAAAGGTATTAGGAGTGAAAGAGAATGAAAAAGACTTTAGAAAGAACCGGAAACCCAATCCTCAACGGTGAACTAGGAATATACCTCTACTCCTGTTCAAAAGACCGGAGTGGAATGTGAAACGGACAATGGTCAAACTTATCTATTCCTATTGAGGAGAAAAAATAAAAGATAAATGGTAAATAAAATTTAAGGGTTTCAGCAGAGACGTTAGAAATATAGAGTCGAAGTAAACTTGAGAAGGAATCTGGAAACCCAATTCTAAAACGGAAACAAGGGATGAACCTCTACTCCTGTTCCAAAGACAGTTGAGAAGTGTGAAGTTGTGAAGCTAACCTACTCTTATTGAAAAAAATAAAATAAGAAATAAAAATAAATAAATAAATAGATAAATAAATAATGAATAAAATTTGTAACGTTTGGTTGCTTTCATAACTTCAGCCAATTCTGCATCGTTCCTTTTTGTCTACATTAGCGACACCAGTTTCTTCAATATTTTCTTGTTTAAAATTTTTCACAAATCGCTTTTTCTTAAAGCCAATTTTTTCTTGTTCGTGACGATTTTTCATTTTTTTTTTTTTTTCTCTGATTACACTTTTTGCACTTTTCAATGCTTCCTCTCCCATCAATTTTATAACTTTTACAATATCATTTCTCTTTTGATGTTATGTCTTTCTTACAACCCATGGCAGTCTTTATAAAATTCACAAATAATTGTAACTGTTATATATCGAATGTTATATGATATTTATTTATAATACTAGTCGAATACACATCCTACGAGCACAAAAAGTACTTTCTAATAGTAGTTTTCTTACCTCTCTGAAATTTCTCTATAAACAATTTCAGTAAGACGTCCTTTTTCTCAAGTTTTATTATCACTTGAATTTCCTACCCTGGATAGCTACATAAAGCTAAGAATGAGAGAAGCATTTGAATCATTTTATAATGTTTGCATTAATAATATTAATACTAATAATAAATTAAGCAAACTTACTGTCTTTTTTTTAGTTGTTTAAATAATTTGGTGCAACTTTTTAAAAAAATTAATAAATCAGATTATTTTGACTCATTTAATTAATGCTGTAAAGTCTTCTGCGCTGTTCGACTTATTTTAATAACGTGAAATGTCATATGATAACAATAGTTACTACGAACGCTGCAAAAAATAATATCGTAACTCACGTTGCCTGGCTTAAATTATAGAATTTGATAAAAAAAATTATTTTTTAAACTTTTTACTGCATGTCTACTTCTTTAAAAATGTTTTTGAAGCTAAGATCACATTTATTTCAATTTTTTGTACATTTATTTTACTTTTTTAATGTAAGCAGAATATATGAAAGAATATAAGAATAAGAATATAAGAATGAAAATATTTTCCTGTTAACTTATGAATGAATTTTGAATTTTTTGTGAATTTTGGAATTCTGAAAAAAATATTTTTGAGTTACATTTATTTTACATTTTTACATTTAATTTACAGGTTGATTGAAAACTATTTTATGTATAATGGACTCTTCCGTCTAACCATAATTTTTACAAGTCGGGAGAGTCCATCATACATAAAATAGGGAGTTACTTATTAATCACCCTGTACGTTATTTAATGAAAGTAGAATATATATAAAAGAATATAAGAATATAAGTATGGGAATATAAGAATAAGAATATTTTCCTGCTAACTTACGAATGAATTTTGTAATTTTTGTGAATTTTGAAAAAATTATTATTGAAGTTAAAATTACATTTATTTTACTTTTTTACATTTATTTAATGAAAGCAGAACATATAAAAGAATACAAGAATAAGAATGTAAGAATATAAATAAAAGAATAAGAATAATTTTTCTGCTAACTTACGAGTGAATTTTTGTAAATTTTGAAAAAAATTATTTTGAAGCTATTACATTTAATTTACTTTTTTTTAAAATGTAAGTAGAATATCTAAGAGAATATAAGAATAGGAATATTAGAATAAGAATAAGAATATAATAAGAAGAATATAAGAATAAAAATATTTTTCCTACTAACTTACAAATGAATTTTGACAACGCGATGAATTTAAAGAATTAACTTTAACTACAAAACCATTTCTTAATATACCAATTTTTATAATTTTTTTAAAAAAATAAATAACCCAAACGAAATATTTATTAAAATATGCTTTTTGAAATTATTATCCAAATTAAATGCTCCTGCTGAGGTCAAAAATGCAATGAGTTAGCGATACATATAAAAGGATAAGTCACTTCAGCGTAAATCATAAAAAACCGAAGTAACAGGTAACAACTACTGTAGTTACACGCGATGTAGAACAATTACGACTGAATAGTAAGTTCGATCCTCACCGGGTGCCACATACTTTCGGCCTGCTGTCACATCTAAGCTACGTTTAGAAAATAATTATAAAAGCTGATAATAATATGTATTTGCTCGGCCTCCCCACTAAGGCAGGATGTGCCATGGGGTCGTTTTTACGCCGGAAGCGCATGCGCATACGCTGGCATCGATATTACTACCGATTCCCCCTCTCTGGTGCAATGAGTGGCTACTGTTGCGGGCGATTGTTCCCCGGGACTGGGCACCTCTTAGTATTTTCCCCACAGCTCCGCTCTGTCCGCAGAGACACGACTCAGGGATGATAGACCTTAATAGACATGTGCCAGGGAAGTATTGACTGTGTCGTCTGTTTTATTTTATTTTTTTATGATGTAAGGTGAGATCTTAAAACGTGAAAATAATTCAAAGACAGACATAAATATAGAAGATTAATATCTATATAAATAAACCGGATTGTACGTATGTCTGTCCGTTTATCCGTTTTTCGATCTTGACATATCATAAAAAAACCGAAGATATTACATGTGATTAAAAGTTAAACGTGATTAAAAATTAAATGAATAACTCAATTAAAGTTAAATTTAAATATCGAAGAGAGTGAAAGTTTGTTTGTTTGTTTTTTTTTTTAAAAAAAAAGAGACAATTCTTTATTAAAGGTTTATCTTTAATTGCGGTTTTCGTTGCAACTGATATCATCTAATGAAACCGTACTTAAAACTTCAGCAGGGCCGGTATATTGCTCATTTTTTTCTAGCACGCGTAATATGACGTATTCGAAATATTACATAATTTGGGTTCCCTAATGTCTTTTAAGAGTGATTTTATTTGAAGGGATAATAAAGAATGGTGAGTTTAAAAGAAAAGAAAAAATTGCGCGCAAAATAAATGTAAACTAACTACGAAGATTGATTGCGTATACGAAGAAAGATTATGCCGAATTAAGGTGTCGAATAAAGATAAAATAATTTTCTTATTCCTAAATTCTTTTACGTACATAGGACACTAATGGTAAAAGTTCAAAGACCAGAGGCCCAAAAGACCTGCACAGGAGACAGCTTAAAGTAGGCCCGAGGGGCGTCTTCTAGGCTAGTTAATAATAGAATAGCGGCTTGGATTGAGGAATCGGAGAGCTCATTTCGAATTCCAGTCGAATTCATTACAATCACTTACGTTCTATTACTTGGGAAAGGTATAAATCCTCTTCTTCTCCCCACAGGTAAATAGCAGGACATACCGAGTTCTATAGCCTTGGATGGCTACTGTTCTACCGCAGAAAGAAATGGCAACCTGCTGCGGGGGAAAAATCTGCCTCGTCAGTCATATATCGAAAGATACATGATTACCTAAGCGTGTATCACGCATGGCACATAACTGAACTGAATAATAGAATGAAGTATGCCTTTTTACGCCGGAAGCGCATGCGCATACGTTGGCATCGATATTACTACCGTTTCCCCCTCTCTGGTGCAATGAGTGGCGACTGTTGCGGGCAGTTGTTCCTCGGGACTGGGCACCTCTTAGTATAAACCAATCTTTGGAGTTAAAGTGTCTATAAAATATGAAGATATATTTCATAGAACCAAACATAAAAAAAAGCATTAAAACTTACCAGAGATGAAGTTTCATTAAAACAAATCCAGATACATTGTTTTCTCTTCCCTGGGGGGGGGGGGGAACCCTTCTCCCTGGTTCACCATGTATCCAGCAGTGTAGCCAGACGTATCACTACGCTGGGTCAATTGCGTGGTTGGAGATTTTGAATTCAGATATGTCCTTCTAGGCCGCTTGCCACTCAAGGCAAATGGACCCAACCCTGTCCTGCTACATCCCCAAAGCTCGGCTGAGAGAAGAGATCTATCCATTACTCCACCGTCTCACCTCAAATATAAAATAATAATACAGTGTAACCCGGATATAAGAGACCCGGATATAAGAGAAACCCGGATATAAGAGATTTTCTCTGGTCCCAAATTAGAGCCTGTGTATATAAAATAGACCAAACCCGGATATAAGAGAAACCCGGATATAAGAGATTTCTTCTCCGTCCCGATATAATATATATATATATATATATATCCGGGTTATTTTATATACAATGTAACCCGGATATAAGAGAACCGGATATATATATATATATATATATATATATATATATACATATATTTTATATACAATGTAACCCGGATATAAGAGAACCGGATATAAGAGAAACCCGGATATAAGAGAGATTTTCTGGTCCCAAATTAGAGCCTGGTCCCAAATTAGAGCCTCCGTGTTTATATCCGTTATATATAATATATATATAAATATATATATATATATATATACACTTATTTTATATACAATGTAACCCGGATATAAGAGAACCGGAGAAACCCGGATATAAGAGATTTTCTCTGGTCCCAAATTAGAGCCTGTGTTAATTATAAAATAGACCAAACCCGGATATAAGAGAAACCCGGATATAAGAGACTTCTTCTCCGGTCTCGACAACTCTCTTATATCCGGGTTACACTGTATATATATATATATATATATATATACACTAATACACTCAATGTAACCTGGATATATCCCGGATATAAGAGATTTTCTCTGGTCCCAAATATATGTATATATATATATATATATATATATATCCGGTTACACTAATATATATTATTTTATATACAATATACAATGTAACCCGGATATAAGAGACCCGGATATAAGAGAAACCCGGATATAAGAGAGATTTTCTCTGCTCCCAAATTAGAGCCTGTGTTAATGTATATAAAATAGACCAAACCCGGATATAAGAGAAACCCGGATATAAGAGACTTCGTCTCCGGTCCCGACAACTCTCTTATATCCGGGTTACACGGTATTAATAATAGATTGGAACAATATATTTTTTTATTTGTATATGAAATAAGTTTTTGAGTGAAAGTGTTTGTAAAATAGGAAAATATATTTCATAGACCCAAATATAAAAAAAATAAAAGTTACCAGGGATGAAGGGTTATTTTTACAGATCTAGATCCAGGATCTTCACGTTTCTTGGACGACCTTCTCCTTGACTGAACATGTCTGCAGGGGGGAGGTGTAACCATGCTCACCACGCTTGGTCAACTGCAGTTGGTGAGGCTATAGTTGGAGGTTTTGAATTCGGAGTTGTCTTTCTCCTAGACCGGTTACCATCCAAGGTTATACGACCCAATCTGTCATACTATTTAACCCATAGCTGAGGGGAGAAGAGATGGATCCATATCTTTCCAAAGGGTATTTGAACTCGACAGGAATTCAAATTTGGTTATCCAATTCCTCACTCTGAGCCGCTAACACTCCACTGAGTATGAATATATATATATATATATATATATATATATATATATATATATATATGTTTCATTAAATAATATAGACAAATGTTGTCTATTTATTTTATGTAAATTCTTTTTCATAACGTCTGAATAAAAAATGCTGCCTAAATACACACAATTTAAATATAGATAGATAGATAAATAGATAGATAGATAGATAGATAAACCTAGTGAGCCAGACAAACCTACCTAGGTTTCACCTAAACGGATCGTCAGGGAAAGTGGCTGACGATCCGCTTAGGTGAAACTTAGGTAGATTTGTCTGGCTCACTAGGTGTATCTAGGTCTGCTCTACTGTTGTATTGAGCTCTTTTGTTAGTTAGTTGTTTACTCGTATCGGGTTTTTTTTCTTTGGGCTTCAAACCTGCATCTGTGCGATTTTTTTTCGACAGACTTTCATGTTTTAGATCTTTCTTTTTTAAAACCTTTTTTTTTTTTCCATCGAGATTGATTTGATTATTGGCAAATCAAAAATTCGATGGTTTTTCGAAACGAGTAGAGTTATATATATATATATATATATATATATATATATATATATAGCGCCCTCATATTCTAAAACAAGGAAAAATATACAGTAGAAAACCATTTCTTTTAGATAAAAAATGCTGTAATCTTTTGTACACGCCTTTTTCATATATGTGTGTCCAGGTACCAAAGCACATTTGATCCAGAGCCTTTGTTGGCGGAAGCTCTCCCTGATTGACCAGGCCTTCAGAAGTGTAGCCGTACACATCACGCTTGCCTAATTGCGGTTAGTGAGGCTATTTAACCCATACTTGAAGCGTTTGAATGCAAAGTTGTCTTTCTCCCAATACGGTTGCCATTCATGTCTATAGTCTCTCCTTCTATTTAACCCATAGCTGAGGGAGAGAAAAGAGAGATTTGTGATTTTACCAATGGTATTTGCACTTGAATGTATCGGACTGCTATTCGAACTCGTCTCTACTGATTCCTTAATCCGATACGCAATGCATTACTCCACAGTTTCATAGATGAATATTATTAATGATGGATAGTCTTTTGATGTGTACATATAAGAAAATAGATAGATAGATAGATAGATAGATAGATAGATAGATAGATAGATAGATATGAACAGACTAAGGTAGATATATAGATAGATATGAAGAGACTGAGATAGATTACAACTATTTTAATAAAGGTCTTAAAAACGAATATATTTTTGAATATCAAATAGAGAATATAATAATAATAATAATAATAATAATAATAATAGGGTCTTTTGATATGTATATAAAATAAGCTTTTGAGCGAAGGTCTGTAAAAAACGAAAATACTTTTGATCCACCATAATAGATGGATGTCGTCTGACGAAAAATCCCGATAGGCAACAGTGCATATGTCGTATGTAATTCTGTGATCATCCCCACAATTACCATTTGTGAAAGAAGGTTCCTGACAGAAGCAATGGATTCATGCGACCAGAATTGATATTTCAAAGAAGCGAATTTTCAGCGTAAATACCGGAAGTGCTGGCATTATGCCAAACACAACTGGACGCGCGCCATTTTCAATGTCATCTTTTTATTATCATTTTGTCAACTATTTTTTTTTTTTATTAATAAACATATTTTTTTTTATCGTTCCTGTAATGTTCTGGCTTCGAGATGGGCCCGCTTCCATATGAACGAATGACATTCAAATTTTTGTGTGGACATACCACAAAAATGTCCTTGCAATTGGAAGATTATAAAAAAAGAAAGATTAGCGGCTTCTTCTTCCCCAAAGCTACTGCCATGTTTCTCTGAAAATAAACAAATTAGATAGATAGATAGATAGATAGATAGAAAGAAATAAAGAAAGAAAAAATAGGATACAGAATCCAGACAAAATTTGATTACACGTTTCGCGCTTGCTAGGTTTCATTAGATTAAAAACGAAAGAAAGAAATATGTGTGTGTATTTGTGTGTATGCTTAGATAGATAGATAGATAGATAGATAGATAGATAGATAGATAGATAGATATGAAAAGGCTGAGAAAGATAGAAAGAGTAGATAGATAGATAGATAGATAGATAGATAGATAGATAGGAAAAGGATGACAATGAAAGAAAATTAGATAGATAGATAGATAGATAGATAGATAGATAGATAGATATGAAAAGGCTGAGAAAGATAGAAAGAGTGTAGATAGATAGATAGATAGATAGATAGATAGATAGATAGATATGAAAAGGCTGAGAAAGATAGAAAGAGTGTAGATAGATAGATAGATAGATAGATATGAAAAGGCTGAGAAAGATAGAAAGAGTGTATATAGATAGATAGATAGATAGATAGATAGATAGATAGATAGATCGGAATCATATATTAGAATGATAAGATAAAGAAAAAGTAGGAAATGTTTATCAATCTAACATGTTTCACTTTTATTAAAGCTTCGTCAGAGAATGAGATATGGAGAAAAAAATAATGGTAGTTTTACTTTTGTGTTGTTTGTTTTTCATTGGTTAATCAAGTTTCACGTGCATTCGACTTGTTAAACAAACGTTAGTATAATTTATGGCGCTCCAAATTCAAGGAGAGACGACGCGTTCTTTCGAAGTTCCAACAAATTAACGAATCCCAAAACTAACTGAAAAGCCGCAAATATTAATTTACGCATAGATAAATAGGCTAAATTGATTTTTATTTGAAAGGCCGAGATACATACATAAAAACTTTATCATAGTCTGTCTCACGGTCATAAGAATTGAGCGACAGTCTGAGTAAACGAGCACTTAATACCGATATTGATTTATGATTTGAACTTACTATATCAATTGTGGTTATTGTTGTTGCTGTCTTAATGTCTATTGCTGGAACTATATTGTTTTAAGCTTACGGTTACATCACTTTCCAGTACGATCACCGAAGTTAAGCAATATCGAGCCTGGTCAGTACCTAAATTGGTAACCTCTTGGGAATACTAGGTACTGTAAGCTTGGATGTGCAGGTGGTGTAATGGATAATGGCTCGAAATTATTAATCTGAGAGCCGAGTTCCAATTCTGGTTGGGTTCGTTATATTCATTTACACGCAAATACCCTTGGGAAAGACATGAATCCACCGCTTCTCTTCCCAACTATGGGTTAATTAGTAGAACCTGTATCAGCACATCATTATCTAAAAAAATCCTTATAATCTAAAAAAAAAAATTGATAAGACGTAGAAAATCAATTAATCAATATTAATATTAAATATTTTTTAAAGCCTACCCCTGATGCCATATTGTTTTAAAGCCTAATCCTGAAACATTATTGTTTAAAGACCTTCTCCTGACGCCATCTTTACTTTAAGACCTTGTACTAAAAGCATATTGTTTTAAAGCTTAGCCCTGACACCATATTGTTTTAAATGCTAGTCTTGAAACCATATTTTTAAGGCCTCGTTCTAAAATCATATTGCTTTAAGGCCTAGTTCTGAAAGGATATTATTTTAAGGTCTTGTCCTGAATCCATTTTCTTTTACTGCTTATTCCTGATACCATATTTCATAAGGCCTATCTCTGATGTCATATTGTTTTAAGGCTTAATCCTGAAACATTATTGTTTTAAGACCTACTCCTGAAGCCATCTTTACTTTAAGACCTTGTACTAAAAGGATATTGTTTTAAAGCTTAGCCCGGACACCATTTTAATTTAAAGCCTAGTCCTGAAGCCATATTCTTAAGGCCTCGTTCTGGAACTACCTCGTAAGTAGGTCAGTAGATAATATATTCATATACCACCACTGGACACTTAGAAAGCCGCCCTGTGTAGCTACGTTAACTGCGGTAATGAATGTACAGACGTAACTGACAGAATTTAAAATCGAAATATAATGTCTACTCTGTAATTTTACAGCTATAGATCAAACCTGTCAAGACACAAATAAAATTTCAAAGAAACAACTTTTCAACGCCAGGGGCAAAAAGCTCAGATATTCTGCGAATGGCTATGTCTAGAGCCTGCACCTGACCATTAAAACGGTCCGTAAAGAGATATTCATCGATGACTTCCGTCTCGTTGCTAATCGCGTCTAGTGAGATCTTTATTTGGAATTAGATAAATTAACAAAATTATATTTCCGTAATTTTCTATATTTTTCAGGTCTTACGCGTCATAAATGCCATATAAAACTAACTAAGCTATTTTTTTCTAAGTTTTTTACATTGTTCGGACTATCGTCCTCATCTTTGTTACCATATTTATCACAACGTTGTACGCTCCGGCCTTCTTCAGGTGTTTGGAATGTCAAACTGAACCCTTTATTTCATTCGCTGGGGTAGACTGTTCTAGTTCCACGTGCCATGTCTTAATGGATGTCAGTTATCAGTTATCTCCTGTTAATTCCCCTCTCCACGTTCTCTACTGCCTTAACCGGGTATTAAACTCACACTCTTTGGGTCCTGTCACTGGATCTAACTATGGCACAGTTAGATCAATACATGTCTTTGTACACTATTTACATTATTCAGACTATTGTCCGCATCTTTGTTGCTATATTTATCACAACTTTTCGGCCGTTGTACGCTACGGCCTTCATCGGATGGTTGGGATGTCGAACTGAACCCTTTATTTCACTCGCTGGGTTAAACTGTTCTAGTTCTACGTGCCATGTCTAATGGATGTCAGTTATCAGTTATCTCCTGTTAATTCCCCCCCCTCTCTCTTCTCTCTCTCTCTCTCCAAGTTCTCCACCGCCTAAACCAGCGAGCGAAATAAAGGGTTCAGTTCGACATTCCAACCACTTGAAGAAGGCCGGAGTGTAAAACGGCCGAAACAAAGATGAGGACGACCGCCCGAACAATGTAAATAGTGTACATAATACCTCATCTCAGAACTATAGACAGATTCTAAGGTTTTTGTCGTTTTCGCAGCAAATCCTTTGTACGTAATGCTAAATACCTTACGATGATCTTAGAAATCTTCCTACTGAAATTTCGCTATATGTATTGATCTACACTGCAAGTTTATTTTGCACGCTATTCGCATTGTCAATTTGTTATTGATAACTACTGAAATAGTGCATTTTTATTTTGTGAATTCATATTCAATCGTGGCATAGCAAATATTTTGGTCACCCTTAGTTGCATTACACTATTGTTTTATTGGTACTGTAAAGACCTTTCTTCACATTAAGACAGAATGTGTTACTGTCGGCCAGAGGAAGAGTCCAAGATGGAACTAATGAATTGTAGATGTCGATACCAAGCAAGTATGAAAATGTGCGACATTAATCAGCAGTCAGGTTAGGTTTAAGGCTCCAAGTTCACTAAAGTGGAACCTCGGTTCACGAATTTAATTCGTTCCTGAAATTGCCAATGACTTAAGTTAAATCCGAAAGAAAAAGAAAAAAAAAATAGATGCTTAAACTTAATTCATACTTAAAATCGGTCCAAGTTATTGGAACACCATTCACTTCCCCTCACATACTTTTAACATCTAATTTAATCCCCCCACGCACACACACAGAAATTTTTTATTGTATGGTGCTTTGCTTGCAAACAAACAGGATGAACAAGCTTATAACCAGGGGGACAAACGTGGCCTCTCCGCAAATGCGAATCTTTAGATCGACATGGTTAAATAAAACTGAAAATGATAAGTTGTGTGCCATTTAAATTTGACTAGCAGTAGAGCCCGGCGTTGCCCGGGGATGTAACAGTAAGAGATAGATCAAGTATCGACCATCATAAAGACTGAAAAATAAAATTGACAAAGATTATTGTTTAATGTTGACGGACACGCATGTCTTAATTAGTTTTATTTTTTGTTTTGTTTTGTTTTTGTTTTTTTTACGAATTGGTCAAACCCAAACTCAAACAAAAACATTATTTTCAATCGTTATGAGTCTAGCGATTGAATAGAATTTTATTATAAACAACTGTCATGTAAATGGAATTTTTAAAACATTCTTAATGTAAGAATAAAGAAAAAAGTGTGTAAGACAATAAGAAACCCTACCTGCCAAAAAAAGTGAAGTTTTGTTGAAATCGGTTGAAAATTGAAGGAAATCCGATCTCATATATAAACACACACACACACACACACACACACGCACACACACACACACAAACAACCAACCTGAGTTTTGTAATAAGTATAACTCGATATTAATAAGTATAACTCGATATGAGTTGTCCCCCTTTCATTAATGCCTCTTAATCGTGTTTTCAAATCGATTTCGTGCAAAAACAATTGTGTTTTTCTAATTTTTGACGCTGTCAGAACCACCGCAAGGTAATTTTACGTAGTCCTGTGAAGTTTTGTTGAAATCGGTTGAAAAATGTAGGAAATCCGATCCAATATATAAACGTACAGACACACACACACACGTCACAACCTGTGTTTTATAATAAGTAAGATTCACAGAAGTCTTCGTTATTCGTATTAACGAACTGCAGCACTTAGCAAAATGATCTTTCTTTTCTTCTTCTGTCTGCGGTCCTGTTTGCATATCTATTCTCATTAAGAATGGGACCAGAATACCCCACAAATGAGATGAGAATGAAAAGGCCCCCAAGAGATTAACAAATAAAAGAAGAAATCCCTCGACAGAAACAAAAATTTAAAAAAAAGAAAAAGAAAAATCATATTTCCACCTTTTGGTGTTTTTACCAAAAATAAATTTACAGCCACCTTCATTTTTTTTTCCTTAATGTTTCTTTTATACTCCGGTTAATGCTCAGACAGCTTCTTTTTGTTTGTTTAGTGGCATATCAACACCTTGTGGGTCATTTAATGCCGAAATTGAGTTTTCTTGGGAGTATTACTAATTTCTTTTCCAAAAATCTATTAATTTTCTTAGTATGAAAACGTATAACTGGTAATTTTGCTTTAAAAGTGTTTATATTTTCATAGTGTTTTGACCCCAGTTTGGGGGTTAACTATTTGCTCATAGCTGGGACCCTAACAGGTGCTACCACCCCGAGTCAGTGCGGACCTGGGAACACCAGCAATTAAGAGGTAGTTCCACGTTCTCAAAACCTCCCTATCAGAGGCCTTGCTGCCTGATGTAGTTTATCGTCATACCAAGAATAGATTACTTTCTGTTTACTGAATCAATTGCTAGATCTGCAGCTGCTGAGAAGTAGGTTTGTGCTAACCAAACTTCCTCTTCAGAATCCCTCTTACACATTTATAAAGCTACCATTCTTCCGTACATTATATATTACTGCCATATCTAATCTGGTGCTCCGGCTATTTGTATCATCAGTTCCCAACAAGGTGCTGATAACACAACTACTTACCTTAACAGTAAATCCGATAAGTACGACAAAGTTGATAGCGACTCTCGAAAAAACTCCAATCAGTTGTTAAATGGGGCAAGAAATGGCTTGTAAATATTAACGCCTCCAAAACGAACCTGATACCCTTTAATCATTATAGAGAACCATTGTGGCCCTCCATCAGCATGGCTGATGCTAACCTCCATAAGAGCAACTTTTATGCTTTCTTAGTCTCATGTTTTCAACTGACAAGAAGTGGAGATATTATATTGAATCAGTTGTTAGGTCTGCTACTAAGAAGGTTGGTTCACTGCCTCATACCAGACAATATTTCTTGTCTGAATCCATCTTGCACGTTTATAAATCTGTGATACTATTTGTTGTTACCGCGGTAAAATAAAACCTAGAAAGTGTTATGTGCTGAGAGACATTGAAACGAGAAGGGTTAATATCAAAAACCCGTGGGAAGAACTGAGGATTTAATTCACACATAAACGATTTGAATTCTATGTCAAGCAGTTTGCACGATGGAAAAGTGACCCAGACTTAGAGGGCAATGTTGATTGACACACAGCTGCAAATGCAAGATGTAAAGCGAAAATTTCATTTTTCGTAAACAACGAAAAATTGCATGCGAACTCTGATATAAACCAATTATTGTACCGGGGGATAAAAAAAAAAAAAAAAAAAAAGATGTAAACACAGTATTTAAATTATTCCAGTGTTATTGTTTTTCTTGTACGTCATCGCCCTGATTGGACCAGCCCAACACGAAGATACCTGCGACGATTCGATTTTGGCTGCCTTATGATCAAAATCTTAAATCACCACGTGGGATAAGTTTAGCTCTGGATTGAAGTAGTCACTTCAGTGACAATCCGCGGTATTGGAAGTCTTGGACGACTGGCTAGGGTGTTATACGTTTAAAAATCTACATTCGAATTGAATAGTGATTTTTTGCATCGAAAATGTGTGAAAGAAGTAAATTGGCCAAAATTTGTGCTTTTTCCGCCTCATGTATCCCGCAGTAAATTATTAAACATTATGGCAGTAATGGTGGACGAATGGCCAACAAGAAGTCCGATTTTTTTCTTGTCGATAACTTCAAAACAGTAGGTTTTTTCATAATTTAATTGTTAATTCTAGTTCAGCATGTACATTTACACGAAATTATGACGATTTGGGAAAATTTTAAGGGATATTTAGCGTGGGCGTTAAAAAGAAAATTTACCTAAAATTTTATAGTAGAGTAACGATCAATACAACACTTTTAAACTAAAGTATAAAAATATATTTTTCTAGTAAAATTACCAGTAATACATTTTTTCAATTAACAACAATATGTTTTATTATCTATAAACTACATATCTAAAAAATATACGTTTGCTCTGAAAGTTGTGTACAAAATATCTACTGTTAAGACCATAAAATTGTGTTCAAAATATTTAGCATCAAATGTTAAGTAACCCATAGAGGTGTTGATATGCTGCTAAACAAAATCAACCAACCAAACAACCATGAAAGAACTCTTTCGTGACATTAATCCATATAATATCATGGAATTTCTTAAATCAAACGTTATTCCAAAGCGGCTTCGATTGAGGAATCGGAGAGCCGAGTTCGAATTCCAGTCGAATCCATTACATTCACTTACGCGCTAATACCCTTGAGAAAGGTATGAAGCCCCTTCTTCTAAACCCCACCCACCAGCTATGGGTAAATAGCAAGATAGACCAGGTTTTATAGCCTTGGATGGCAACTGGTCTACCACAGAAACAAATGGTAACCTACTGCGGGAAAAAAAATCTACCTCGTCAGTCATGTATCGAAAGATACATGATCACCTAAGAATTACACATAACTGAACTGATTCCAAACTATAACTTCAACAAATATACAACATAAAACGCACATATCAACGCCTCTAGTAATTATGTCCCCACAAACATGTATATGCACAAAAGCAGAGTATCATGTACCATGTATTCAATTGTGAAAGCAGAATAACATATATCCTATTTTTATTATTAAAATTAAATTTGGGTATTAAATGACCCATAAGGAGTTGATATGCCGCTAAACAAAATCAGCCGGCCAAAAAAGAAAGAAAAAGAAGGAAAGAATTAAGGAATAAAGAGAAAAGTAAATAAAAAAAATGAATGAGAGTTAACTAGGAAATAAACGGCGTAAAATGGAAAAAAAATAAAATGAAAAAAAGTTTAGTAAATATTGAAAAAAAATCTTTTTGAAAAACAAAGCTATTGACGAAAGAAAGAAAGAAAGAAAGAAAGAAAGAAAGAAAGAAAAAACGAAGAAAAAAATTGAACAGAATGAGATTTCGTTCGTTTCTTTGTATGGTCAACGAGTTGGCTTCCATTAATAAGGGTCAGTCAGATGAAGTCCGAGGGTGGGGGACTCGTTTTGAGAAGCCGCTTCTCGCTTCGCATTGGCCAACTGCCTCTGGCGGTTCCAATCAGAAAGCTTCTTGTCTAGCCGCTGGCCTTCTGCTTCTCATTTGGCGAGAAAGTATATTCATGTGTTGTTCTCACATTTTGACCGCAGGGGGCAACAGCTTCTCCGCCTCTCCTCCTCCTGTTCCTCATTCTTCTTCTTCTCTATGGAGGAAGGGACAAAAGAGAGCTCTCATAAAAAGTGAGGGGGAGAGAGTGAGGGAGATATTAACACAGACTGTTGGACTAAGTTGGCCCTTCGGGTGGTCACAGTAGTGTTAGCTTCGAGGTCAGGGTTTTAGGAATGTGCGTAAGGTTTGAAAAAATTGCAGGAAAAAAAATAACGAAAAACTATACATGTCGACATACAAAGCTCATTACAAAAAATATACAGTGTAACCCGGATGTAAGTGAGTTGTCGGGACCGGAGAAGAAGTCTCTTATATCCGGGTTTCTCTTATATCCGGGTTTGGTCTATTTTATATACATTAACACAGGCTCTAATTTGGGACCAGAGAAAATCTCTCTTATATCCGGGTTTCTCTTATATCCGGGTCTCTTATATCCGGGTTACACTGTATATGACATACCCGGATGCGAAAACAAAAATCTTAGTAGTCCGTTTGCCATTTTTACCGTTGCCATTTTTACCGCTGCCATTTTTTCCGCTGCCATTTTTACCGAGCATCATATATATATATATATATATATATATATATATATATATATATATATATGTGTGTGTGTGTGTGTGTGTGTGTGCGTATGTGTGTGTGTTTATGTGTGTGTACTGGGTTGTATATTAATATTCTTTCGTTTTTATTATTTCTATTAGATTCTTCGACCATTACACACACACACACACACACACACACATATTTATATATATAGATAATATTAGTGGTAAATATACACATACATATACAAAATATATAGATATATATATACATAGGTGAATACACATATATGTATATTTTTTTAATAAAAAATTCCGTGAGTATAGAATCCAGGTAGAACCCAATGTCCAGGACAGAGTAAGGAATATAATAAAAAGGTTTAAACATTAATATTCAATGGTCATAATTTATTCCATTGGAATCGTAAATACGATCCAATTCATCAGACCTACAAATTCAAAAAGAAAACAGAAAAAACAACTCCGGGAATAAAAACAGAATTTAGAGGGAGTCTTCAGAAGGAGGGAGATTAAACCTTAACAGAGAGAATTTTAGGAGAGGTGAGTGGAAGTTGTGTGTGTGTGTGTGTGTGTGTGTGTGTGTGTGTGTGTGTGTGTGTGTGTGTGTGTGTGTGTGTGTGTGTGTGTGTGTGTTTCAATTAGATTTCTCGACCATTATATATATAAATATATATAGTATGTGGTGCAATTAAATTTACATTACATGAATCATTCGTACAAAAACAAATATAAATGTAAATCATTAACTTCTATATCTGTTTTTTGTATGAATGATTCACGTACACACACACACACACACACACATATACATATATATATATATATATATATATATATATATATATATATATATGTTTGTGCGCATGTGTACTTTAAATAGCACAGGCACATGTATGTCACGCACAACAAAGTCACACGCCAATGCATAAAATACATAGCATGTCAAGTTACACGCAGACAGTATGTGACAAAGAATCTGCCCCTTTTTATAATATCAATTATGACATTTATTCTATCTTAACATTATCTCTTTTCATCACAATACTGTGGATCGATAAACATTTTCTTCGTTGATATAAACAACAGAAAAGTTCAAAAATAAAAAAAAAAATACATCCCGAAAAATATTAATTATTTCACTACTCAGATAATCCTGCTGATCTTGGTAGTTTTCCTCACAACGTTCCAGTCATTAATACTGAAATTACGCATAGCTGATCATATATACCGGGTGTAACAGCAAAATTGTCCAATTGTTAGATTAAGCTCTGAACCGTTGTATCTTAGAAATGATTAAAGATATCTTACTGGAATTCTCTGGGATTTTTACAATACAATTGGACTCTTCTTTGAGCAATAAGAATGTATAATTAATCTCCAAGCTTAACAGAAGAATCGTGATGAAATCGATCTTAAGTGAAAATAACATGTTGATCATTAATTAATCATATCGAAGGATCGGAAGCTCCTGAAGGATTGATATAAATTTAAAATATATATATAGTATCATTGATCTTCGCCCTCCAACGTTCTAACCTTCTGTTCTGGAGTAACAAGGTGCCTCGCACGTTTCACGTACGATTTCATTTTCAAGTCTTTTGTCACTGCTCTTTGGACTGTCATAGCTGAAACTCCTCTCTCACGTGCCAAACGTCTTATGAATTGAGTTGGATCTTTTCTAATTGATCTCTTTAGCTCTAAGTTGAAATGATGATCCCTCTTCCTGTTGTAACCTCCTGATCCAGTTTTCCTCACCAATGTTCCCAGTTGTTTAAACTTATTTACCATTCTCTTGATGGATCTTGAATGGACATGGAAGATGGAAGCCAGATTATGAATGTTTGTACCATTACTGAAGACCTGAATGATCTTTTCCCTCTCACCATTGCTCAGTTGAGAAGTCAGCAGGACTGACACGAAACGATTTTAATCAGTTCTCTTTCTAGCTGAATAACTCAAAGGGTTTTCTAGTGATTCTTACTACAAATGGTGCCAAGATGGCTAAACGTCTTATCTAAAAACTTGGAAAAAAGAAACTCAATTAGTTTAGTGATATTTTTAGATATTAAACATTTTGTGGGATAGATAATTATGCTGTTACACGATTTGGACAATTTTGCTTTTACACACGGTTATATATATATATATATATATATATATATATATATATATACAGAGAGAAAACTCACCATCAGCACTTGCGGAATGAAATGAAGTTAATGTATATGTTAACCACTGATAACTTCCTCAGTAGACCTGTCATAGAGATAAATACCAATCTGGGAAACTCTGATTAAGAAAGAAAAAAATGTTAAAAACGTTCACCTGAGTCAGGACGTCGATGCAGTTATCGCTAGATGACTCGAGTGTGTCTTTCACAAGAGGATCAATTATTACAACACTTCATTAATTAATTAATTAATTAGCGAGCGCTAATTTTAGTAAATATCTCTAGACCTAACCGTGCGGATAGTAAAACGAATATTGGTACAACCGGCGATCCGAGTTCAAATTCCGAGTCATTCTGTTGCGTTCACTTTCTCACAAATGTTTTTACGAAAAGCATGAACCCTTCTTTTCTCTCTTCAGTTAAGGATATCTTGGCCGTCTAGCCTTGGATGCTAACCGGTCTAAATGAATGAAAAACTCAAAACCCTGGGGAAGGCAAGTGAAATCCACTGCCCTATCTTTCTCAAGAATGCATGGCAATTCACAGATCATAAAGAAAAAGAAGCTGTGGAGAGCCATGATCCCCATACGTCCTGCAGGAACGTGGCAATTTAAGAAGAATCTCTAGATCTACAAGAAAACTAAAACATTCGTCTCTGCAACTGTCCGGGTCTACGATTCGTTGTTTAAAATCTGCTTGCAAATGGTATGTTTTATGGTCTCGCAAACACACACACGACAGAGCAAAAACGACTGAAACAGAATTCGTTGGAAGTAAAACAAAGAAAACTCCATGATTAATTCACTTATGATTAATTTATTAAATTGTAAAGTCGAATTCCGATGATCGCCGACAGCAATTTTTGCCTCTGAGGTTAACAGTCGGGTCTACAAATGCCGGACGCAAAAAGTTGTTCGCACTGACCTCTAGCCTATTCTCCTCTTCCTTTGACTCCTCCTCTTCCTCGTACTACAACTACTACTACTACTATTTCATGATATGTCGTTATTTTCTTCTTTCTTTTAATACGTTTTTCTTTTTTTTCCCTCTTTTTTAATTACTTTTATTTCTTCCTTATTTTCTTCTTTTCTTTTTCTGCTTTTTTCTTATTTCCTTTTGTCCTTATTTTTCTTCTTCTTTTTTAATTTCCTTCTTTGCTATATTTTGTCTTTTTTCAATTTCTTTTTTTTTCCTTTTAATTTCCTTCTTTTGTTTTCTATATTTTTCTTTCTTTCTCTTCTTTTTAATTTCTTTCTTTTTTTCTTTCCAATTTCTTTCTTTTGTTTTCTATATTTTCCTTTCTTTCTCATCCATTTAATTTCTTTCTTTCTTTTCTAAATTTTATCTTCTTTTTTTTTCTTCTTGTACTTCGTCTGCGACTTCTTCTTTAACTCTTTTTCTTTTTCTTGTACTTCTTCTTCTTCAACCATTAAGATGTTTAGAATCACTGAACTATCCTTTCCAAGAATCTTGGATTATTCTCCTTTACTGTATTGTCCTTTGGTATTTAAACTTAAATGAAATCAAATTCAATGTAAATCTTTATCTGAAGAAGAGAATAGAAGTCCCGAAACATGTAGCAATGAGTCTTTTTCTTATTGCTACATTTCGTTTGGTACCATGAACAGTCTTTCATTTGGCACTTCCACGTATAACCGCCCAGAGACCAATACATAAATGTCTAACATGATTTATATTTTAATTCCCGTCGAATAAGTGATTTATTCTAAATCCAATCAATCACCGGTAAGCTACCCCCCCCCACGTAATGGCTTCATAACCTCCGTGAACGTAGAGCTATCGATCTTGAAAGTTATTTGATATCTGAATTAATAAACTAAAACCAGTACGGTGGAATCAGAGAGCCGAGTTCGAATTCCACACGAATCCATTACATGCTAATACCCTTGGGAAAGGTATGGATCCTCTTCTACTCCCCCGCCAGCTATGGGTAAAGGGCAGGGTTCTATATTCTTTGATGACCCCTGGTCTACCACAGAAAGAAATGGCAACCTCCTGCATGAAAAAAAATATGCCTCGTCAGTCATGTATCGAAAGAT